TGTCATTATATACGGAAGTCTTGTATCAGGAACCAGTTTCTGCTATTACATGTACCTGTATATAGAAATGAATAAAGTCCTGAAAAATATAATTTTAGGATTTATTGTTCTGTTAACATTCCTTTGTCTTGGTTGTTGTTTACTTATCAGCTGTTTGGCATTTTCGGTGAGTATAAATAATAACATAATTTAAAAAAAAATTTCAATTCTAAACATTGCATTTGTTGTTTTTCAGATGGAGAACACTTTTCAAGATATTCGGCAATTTTCGGCATGCAATTTGCATCTAGAATCAAAAATGAAAGTAAGTCTTAAGGAAATTTATATATTATACTATTAAAGAAATACAAGTTAAAATCAAATGTACGCTATTTCTATATTTCAGATGTTAAATTTCATGAAACGATTTGGGAAAGTGGCATTGAGAGTAACAATTGGTGGATTATTTATGTTAATAAGAGATTTCCATTAAGAGTATTTCCTTTGTTTCATCTGTAGATTTACAAAGTTTATGACAATCAGCAATGTTTTACGAATAATTTTAATGTTTTTTCAGATGGCGAAGTCATTGCACACTGTACACTCCGGACTGCTGAAGCTGAGAGATGTTTCTCACCATTCAAAACAATGTAATGAAATGTCAGTTGGAAATTTTACTGAAATGTAGTAACCGATAACACGTTGTATAGATCAATGGTGCATTATTACATCTGAAAGAATTGCATAAAGTAATTTTCTGTTGCCGAAATATATTTTTTTAATATTTTAATAGAAAGTTTCTTCACGTCTAGTTATTATTAATACTATAGTGCTCTACAATGTGTGTTTGTGAAGACTCGACTTGAGGTTCCCAAAAATGTAATTCCTCTTTCTTAAATAGCCTCTACGTGGAATAAATAGAGTAAAAAGAATTTTTGAAGTGTAAAATTTCTGTCTTTTATGTAATAAAAATTACATTATTTATCTTAATGTTAAGGCTCTAAAATCGTCAAATGAAGAAACTTTAAAAACAGCGACATCGGTAAAACTAAGAATTATTGCTTCATATTTGCAGAAAAATTGATTTTTTGCATTGTTTACATCGACAAATTTTATTTTATTTGTAAGAAATTTAACTGAAACTGAATCCTACATAAATAGTAAAGGAGTTAAACCGGACATATTGGTTCTCCATTTTTCTACAACCAATTTCCTCCGTTGTGAACCCGGCCTTTCTCATAATGAAAATAGAAAAATGGCACTCAAAATGCACTCACTATGGAAATAGTTTAAAATAATTAAACTAGAAAAGACATAAACCATAAAGATTAAGAATTTTCTCGTAATCAGACATTCATGAAAATTGCAATTGTATTTTACTTTTACTTCACTAAAATAAAATCAAGTTGTAACTTAAAAAATACAACGTAACGAGATTTGCAACATAATGAATATAATACAATTTGTAAAATATTTAATAACGTTTATTTGTAACCTAGATTAATCATTTAAATGTTGCTGAATTGGTTAAAATTTCTATGAATGTTGATGTCAATAAAATGAAATTTTTAGTTTTGAGTTTAGTTTTTAATTCGTGTAATTACTGTAAAATGAATTTACAATTTGCACATGAAGTTTCCTGATCTCTGTCTTTTATTCAATTTAATTTTAGCTATTGCAGAGTTTTTTCGGGGCTCATCATAGTTTCTACCATGCCACGATCATATACCTGCTGGAGAGCGATAAGCCTGATATATCAAGTCCTGTCTTTTGCCACCCAGAACACTTTACAATTCTTCAACCCATTCGTTTATGAAAAAATTTTTGGGATACTTCGTTTGTCCAAATTTCATCTTATCTCAGTTTCCAGAGCGGGAAAATTCCTCTTCTAGTTTTTGCACGTGTTGGATAGTTTTAGCAGAAGATCTTTGAATAGTCAGCACTGCTATTTTATCTTTTATTTCATCCTGCTTTTTGTGTTCATTAGTTATTATTTGTGTTCTAAAATCGATTGACAATTGGTTCCTCAATTCTCATTAGGTAGTTTTTGTTTTACACATGTTTATATTTCGTTAGGTTTAACTATTTTAGTCTCTGCAGTTTGGCTAAGGCACTTATTGGTTTTTGCTTTAAATTTAATTTCGGTTATTTTGTTCTTTACTTGTAGAATTAGTTTTTGTTGTTGTGGAGAGAGCAATATTAGCATCTTATATGTTGTGCCGAATGTACCTGATGGTGTTTTTAAACTCTTTGAAACCAGTTGGAGTACCATTTATAACCTTGAGCTTTAGGTCGGGTACCCGTAGTGCTTTCGCGTAATTTGAATAACCAAAGTTATGCAACGGGACAAGAATGATTGTTTTTTTTTTGGTCCCTCAAAACCGAGCCGTTATTTTGATTTTACAAATTTCATTATTATAAATTCTCGAGTCGATACAGTATATGCACGTTTTAGTTACTGGGAACGTTGTTTCTCAATTCCACAGTCACTCATAACCCGAGCAACGCTGAGGACACGTCACCATATAGAAAGCATATATGGCTGCAATTTGAAAAAATTGTAGACTTATACTGTAGACTTATTTCCACTGTTGTCTGTCTGTCTGTCAGCTCGTCCGCCTGTCGTTCCTTAATATCGTAAACAGAGTTATATTCTTAAAATCCGAAAAGAGATCTGGAAACAATATGTGCAAGAAACCCATTTTGTTTCCAGATGTTGTTTCCAGCTATTTTTATTGATGACGTTCGTTCTAGAGTTATTTGTGATTGTATCGTTGCCATTTTTCCCTGGCCTGCCAGTTTTCACATTCCACAATCGAGTATTTTTGGATCCAGATAAAACGCATGCTTCAGCAATTTAGACCATGAAGCGACAGTTGCAATATCCACAAGCATATCTGTCGCAGGATAACATATGGTAAATGACCTCATGACCGATGCTGTTGTGGAGACATCTACCGTTTTAATTACTGCGACAATGATATAGCGCGAAATTCAAGCGCTACATAATTACTGAGATAGTAGGTAGCATATAGCAATTGCCTGAATGAAATCCAAGGTATTACTCTGTGGAAATTTAATTTTCCACATCTAACCACTCGGGCTTTTTCATTTCTGAACGGTATTTTCTTAATTCTAATAAGCCCTCTTCGGTGCCAAATGCATAAAACCGCCGAACTCTGGTAGTTAATTAGTTTTATGTTCGGGTATGACAAACGGCTGGTCAAATGATTTTCTGGTTTTTTTAACTAAATAGGATCCAGTTTCTCGTGAAAGTTTATCTGCGATGCATTTCCCCGGCAGATCGCTCACGTTTCACGTTGAAGTAACCAAATAAGCCAAACTAATTATAATGAGCGATTATTTATTATGACATTGTTACAATGTTCTCAATTCTTTAATGGTGGTTTGCCCCTGTACATCATACTTTTTCTGTTAGCAATAAAGTCGTGCCGGCCATCTATCTAACTTCGTTCGAGGGGTAAATTTTGAATCGAAGTAACGTGATATCCATTTTAAACCTGAAGTTCCTATATAGTTATATAGTTAGTTTGGTCCTCTCATCCGTACTCTTTCTATAACTTGATTTCACATTTATCTAACTCCTGTTTCGAGATTGAGGAAGGACAGTCAGACAGACATACTGACAAACAACAGTCGAGATTTATAAGTCTACAATTTTTTTCAAATTGCAGTTTAATAATTTTTCTATAAACGCAATGTTTGCGAAAGTATACTTCCCACATAATTTATACAATCTGCTGCAAAAATATAAATACTTTATTATAATATAAAATACTTAATTAATATCCAGCTAGATGCTGCATAACCTGTGCAAAAACATCTTATTTCACCGAGAATTATTTATTAACCGTACATAAAAGTTGGAAATTTCAGATGGGATGAGAGGAAGGAGTTGAGTGTAAGGTCGAGTTTTAAGTCCGTAACGTAGTTCTATTAAATTATAAAGTCCGCATTGTATCCATGTGGCCGTACTCTATTCCGTAAAAAACTTCGGATGGATCAAACTTTTACGATAGGGATACGGAAAACTGGGCATGTGTTAAGTCGCCAACAGTCGATATATACAATCGGAAGTTGTGCCGGAAGCAACCGAAAAAACTTTGACAAATAGACAAAATGGATACTCGTCAAAAATGTGCTGCTATGATTGCGTTGTTGGCAATCAGTGCCGGCACTTTTATTACTAATAAACACCGAAAAGGTCAATGGCAAACATGCCCCATCAACGTACGCAAGCCACTTTGTCAATTCACTTTATTTCTTTATTTATATTCTTCAGTGTTATCCATTTTACTAATCGTAGTCATTGATGCCAGTCTGTTGCCAGATTAAGCAAAAAGTAACAAATTAGTTGAAACAAATTAGTCTAACTGCTGACATGTTGACGAAAGGAAATGAGAAGTCGTTTAAATCGATACTGGCCGGGGTATGCAGTTATAGCAAATGCAATAAAAGAGCTAGGTAACGGTAGCACCTATAATGGGAATGGAAGACGTATATCTAGTTTATTTTTCTTTGAACTCAAATAACGTTTCCGTAGTTAAACTGAAATTCACCAAACTACAAAAAATATCAAGCAACTGCGTGACTTTATATTAAAAAAAATAACACCCAAAAATGTCAAAATACTTTTTTATTATTAAGCGTCAAAAAGACAAAAGTCGACACTTTCGTTTTTTGAATAGATCTTTTCTCCGAGTCAACTATATATTCCAAAAAGTAACTTATACACATGCCAGGATATCACTGAGCATTTTGACACCGAAATCATCAAAATCTAACATGGAAATTTTTTTTAAAAATTAGACACGAAAGTGAAAAAGCTACTGCAAAAGCCTGGGTGAAGCCCAGGCTTTTGCAGTAGCTTTTTCACTTACGTGTTCCCCTACGTGTTCCCCTACTGCAAAAGCCTGGGTGAAGCCCAGGCTTTTGCAGTAGGGGAACACGTAATTTAGTGGTTTTTATGTTTTCATCTCTTTTCAATGTTGTATTTCCAGGCTGAAGGTAATACATATGCATCTCTCACGTTTAAACATTAATTTTTGAAAGTACTGTACATTCTCCAACCATCGCTATGAATATGGAAAAAATAGATATGTTACTGTGAAAGACCGAAATTAGAGAATGTCGATATTCTCTGGTGAATGTCGACACATACAAAATACGTCGGTGAAAGACTGAATATTTGGTTATATTATTATACATTCGAACAATCGCTGGTGTATGTAGACAAGCACAGATAAGCTTTGGTGAAGGTCGAAACCAATGTCAACAGAGAGGCGACAGTCTGTCACCAAATCCTTTATGGGTAGCCGGAGGTAGGACAAAATCGCACCTCTTTTCCCGGCAACGGTTTGATAGAAACTGCTCACTTTGTCACTGAATAGTGTTTTTGTTCTTTTGATCCCGTGAGATGGGGATCGGTTTGTCTGGTCGAATGGCGGAGGATGAGAGGGGTTGTCGGTAAGACGTCGGCGATATCCGAATAAAAGACACCGTTAACATATCAGTTCGTAATTTGTAAAGAAAAGTTACTTTCCATAGATGAGATTTCTTCTAAAAAAATATCGTTGAGAGAAGCAGCTGCAGCTAATTTGAAAAGTGGAGGTCAAGGCTATACACGCTGTCATTGCAAAAAGAAGTGTTCCACGAATAAATGCAGTTGTAAAAGCAGGGGACGCTTGTGCAATTCAAAGTGCCATAGCAATTTAAGTTGTTGCAGTAAATAAGATTGTATAACGTTAATCACATAATTTACGTGTAAGTTTATTATTGAATTAATTTCTTTTCTGATTAAGAATGTACTGTACGTTTTAGGTTCAATAGTTTATTTACATGTGCTATTACCTAAGCTTTCTCCTATTTTGACATATTAAAAAGTTACATTTTTGACTTAACGTAATAAAAATATTTTTATTCAACATTCACCATCAGTGCATGCTGAATGTCGACATTTGCCAGTGTAAGTGAGAAATAAGGATATTTAGCAAATATTTCGTACATACACGAAACGACTGTGTGAATGCTGACATTCACCGGAGAATGTTGACATTCGCCAGATATCGGTCATTCACAGTAACATATATATATGATAGCATGATCATCTTTTCTGTTCAGTTTATTAGTTTTTAAAACTTATCAAACAGTTGACACATATATGAACTCTATTATTATATAAATTATATTATCTTGGATTAAAGTCGAATATTGTAACTTCGAACTTGTGATAATACCACGATAAAGTTTTGTTTAAATGCTTATTTCGTGCCGATAGAGGAACAAACAATAAGTAAGAAATTAAAAACTTTTAACAATGATGCCGATTATATTTGGTATTTTTTAACGTTTATTTTACTCTACATTCTGTTGAAAACGTCAGAACGATTCAGTAAATTGTGGTTTGTAATTATTTACGAAATTTTAATCAAATTTGTTGTAGAATTATCTTTCAGTAAGATCAGAAAATGTTGTTTTCGAAATTTAAAATCAGAAGTATCTAATGACCCTGAACGTTCGCGTGAAGGTCGACTGAGGATTTTGGAAATAGGACCGGGTGGTGGAAGAAACTTCGAATATTTTCCCGAGAAGACTTCATTAATTTGTGTGGAACCGAACGAATTTTGCCGAAAATTTCTTGAGAATAACATAACGAAATATCCGAATATCCATTTAGAAGATTTCTACCACTCTGGAGTGGAAGACATGAAAGAAATAAAAGACGAAAGTTTCGATGTAGTCGTAGGGTCATGCGTACTTTGCTCGGTGCAAGACGTAGAAAAATCTTTGAGTGAGATCAAAAGGGTCCTAACTAAAGTAAGTACTTGAGTTTATAATTTAAAATCTTGATAAAATAATCGAGTTGTGCAATTATTTTTATTTTAGGGAGGAAAATATTATTATATGGAACACGTTTTAGATCCGAAGCCACGAATTTACTTCATTCAAAAATTAGTCGAACCTTTCTGGAGTCTAATGTTTCACAACTGTCAACTTACTCGACGTACCGGAAATTACGTCAGGAATGCTGGTTTTAGTCAAGTTATAGAAAACAGTATAAGAGTGCCCATCCTTACGTATGTAGTTCAGTATAATTTAATACGGTATTGCTGTAAAATAATCTTGTTACATTTTTTAAAATGTATTTTTGCTATATAAATGTAGCATGCTTTGTCTAATATTTTAATTAAAGATACAAAAAATATTCTTATTTGTCTAATAGGAGAAAAGGTTCGAAAGACCATTGTTGCTAATACAGTAAAGTGTCGTTTATCCGAAAGAATTCCAGTCGGCAAATTTAAATTTTCGCTAGTGCTGTGGCGCTGCAATCTTTGGCTATATCTTGGGCTACTCCAATATTTTTTTTGTTGACGTGTGTTTTAGCTGCCAGCACTGGCACTTTTGTGTGGTGTTTTTCTGAGGACTTAATGTATTTTTTCGTACGTAATCGGTTATCCGAAAATAAGTTATCCGAACAATCCCAGTCCCCAATTGATTCGGATAAACGACGCTCTACTGTACTAATGATTGTAAATATTTTAGTATAATTTCAGACTGTACTCCAGATATCAACAGAATCGAGCAAATGTATTCGGTTATTCAAGTTGTGTCTAAGGAGAAATATTCTGAATATGTACCCAAAAACATTTTATCAAGTTTCTGCCTGTGAAATTAACTATTGCAGCTGGTTTCTCTAAATTACTGTTGCAATACCAGAAATCGTTAGTATAAAAATTGAATTGAAATTGAAAATATGCGTGAATAGAAATAATGGAGCAAATATGACAGGTCTCCACTCTGGTCTCCGTAGACAAATTTTTAATTAAAATCCTACACCTCTTTTTGTTCTCGCTCGTGCCATTCTTTAAACCTTGATGTCAGTGATGCAGCGGCAACTTCTGGGAATTCGTTGATTTATTAATTGATCATTTTTCCCTCTGATACAAGAAGTGTTTGTATATGTTACACTCAAAGACCGAAATCGCTCATTGAGCGAAAAAAACGACCACAACGCGTTGTGGCTAACTCAAAACGACCACATAGCGAAATTCGCGTCGTGGCTTTCATGATATTTGACCACTATTCATTGTGGTGATTAAGAAAAGCCATAACGTATTCTGAACGTTAGCTGATACAATCAAGATACGAAGGATAGGTTGTAACTTGTCAACGGGTGCATTGCAAACACTTGCGGAGTTTGTATTGTGTTCATTCTTGACCAGTGCTGGCGTTTCTACAGTAATTACCCTTTTCTAGAGTAATTTCAACCTCTCAGAGTAAAGTTTCGGGTAGTCTCATATTTAGGGTGAATCTAGGGTAAACTACCCTGTGTTCTGATGCTATTACTTATCACTCCACAAGATTCGCTGGAGAAAGTTTTGCTCTGATAAAGCCTAAAAATCCTAAGACATTTTAGTTATTAAAATTTTCAAAAACAATAAGAATTGTTCTGATTATTATTTCACAATAATAGTACAGGGATATCTGCATCACAGAATCGTTCGTCTTATTTTTGTTTATTCGAGCTTGAGCTCGAGCTCAGAGAATTTTCTCAATTTAGGGTAATTTTCTGCAGTTGAAATTGGTTCGATTGTTTTGGTTAGGGTGACTAATGTTGATAGGGGACGTACAGCTCCCAGAAATGTTTTAGCTGTTGTTACCAGCATTAATCCATCAGGTCTATATTACTTAGGAAACAAGGAAAGTCTTCTCGATCGGCTTTATGCTCGTAATGAATTTACAATTTCTACAGTAACTTTATTAACATTCAGAACGCACCCTCAACTTTATTAACACTTCGCTCAGCATCACATGTTAACATCTGGAAGTATGCAAGGGTTTATAATGTGTCGCTGTAAAAGATACTGTATTGATAAAAATGCAAATGTCGCTCAAAGAACATAAAAATGCATGAATAATTAAAAGTTGTAAAGTAATCAAGTTAAATTTCTGTATACGGTGAATAATTTTGTTACCTGCGTATCTAAGACGATTGAAGATAAATAAATCATAATGAAAAAGAAGGTTTTATTTTCTTATCATCGCTCGTTATTAGTTAACATCCAGAACGTGTGGTGGCTTTTAACCATAATAAATCCGTGCACAGTTGTTTTTAACTTTAGCAGCTGATTTTTATTTTATCGTGTATAGTATATCAGGCACCTACAAGTACTGTATATGTAATTAGACCTATAGCACTTTTTAGCAAAACAAAAGAAACAAATGTATATTTTTCTCCAGATGTTTTATTTCTTTGAAATTTTTTTAAGTATGAAAAGTAATTTCTAGAAAAACTTGGTAGAACTAATGTTGTTTGGCATTAAAAATTGTAAATAAAAATATTTCGAGCCTATAATCCATATTTTAAAGTTACATACCACTGTGCGTCGTATGATCCTGTATCGTGGTTGCATCAGCTAATGTACAGAATGCGTTATGGAGTTTCTTAATCACCGCAACGCGTAGTGGTCAAATATCATGAAAGCCACGACACGAATTTCGCTTTGTGGTCGTTTCAAAACGACCACAACGCGTTGGGGTTGTTTTTTTCGCTTAATGAGCGATTTCGGTCTTTGAGCCTAACGTATATGTCAAGAAATTGCGGCCGAAGTTTTCATTTCTAAAACGTGAACGTCGAACGTTAAGTGCCGCCATCCTGTAAGCCTAGAAGTTTGACAATGGCGTTTGGAACGTCAAGCTTGATTCCACTGATGGTCCAAACGCCATTGTCAAACTTCATTGTAAAATTTCTGAATTAAAATTTGTGTGTAGTGTTATTATTTAGACCGAAGTGTTATCTAGGATTAACATAGCATCAAAATTATTAGAAAGATCAAATACAGTCTCATCGAAATGCACAGACGTTTTAAATTACATTGACAAAAATACTTTAATCTAAAATTATTGAAATGTTTGTATATCATTGAGAATTTTTTTCAACCCTTTTTGTGTCCGTTGCCACTAGAAAACGATCCTATTGAAGCTTAAAATTGATTAAAAAGAGATTGTCATAAGTCGATTAACATAATGTTTCGTTTTTAATATAGTCTTTAAAAGTTTATTTATTACATTATTTCTATTTATATGAAAATAATTTTCGTTTTGTTTTTTTTCTATAACAATTAACCACTTATAATAAATCTTATCGTAATATTTTATTTCGTTTCTATTGCCACGTATCTATAAAAAAGTGTTATTGCTTTTTCTTTGTCCTTACCTTACCAGCAACTCGGAAAAAATGCAGACATAAACGTGGCTCGTTTCAAGCAACAATTTTTGGGGCGCCGACCCTGTTGTGGGACGTTTGTTTGCTTTCTAAAATTTACTTTTTTTTTATTTCTGAACTTAAATGTTCTGCCCACCTTGAGTATGTGTCAGACTTGGAATATTCTCGGTAGTATGAGAGATAAGATTCACAGTAATATGACACTTTACTTTTCACGATAACACTGTTTCATCATAAGATATGAAAACGGATCAACGACGAGGATGAATTGTCAGTACATTTTGATTTCTGGAATCCAAATACCGTGCTTTCTGCCATATTGTCTTAGTGTGAAAACTTGTATGGACATTACCTGACACGAAAACACGCAGCAATCTGATTAATTCTTGAATTATATTGCCTCGATTGCTATGATTTTCAATATCAGTTTTCGGTGTTGCTCCTTCAGCAAACTATTGACGTATTCTATGCAGTCTTGCTACGCCAATGCCACTTAAAACTGGCTAACACATCACAACACTTGTGTTCTAGACCCGGAATTGGTAACTAATATAAGGGGCTTCGTATAGTGCTAAAGATGACAAAATGATTGTTTACATTTAGGCTTAATAATCATACCTAAACAAAACTAAAATGATATACATAACGATGAGTTCGCCAATTTTGTAACTTTTTTGACTGGAGGAGAAAACAAGAATAATTTTCAGTGTAACAAAAAATATGGATAAAAATTGATATCTCGGGAATACATGGAAAATGAAGCGTATATCTTTAGTTATTTTTAATAAAGTGTGTATTGGGATAGACAGAAGTTGTTCTAATTCCAGTAAAATAAGGTTCGTTTTGTTAAGCCATTCGTTCGTTCGCGTACTTGACGGCTTACTTCTATCCAGCCTGACAATATAATTCTATAAATTAATTGAGTTAATGTTAAATTTTGACATAAACTTCAAGGAATGTATGAAGGTTTGAATGTATGCTAATATGTTAACTTTAAAATAAAATATTTAGAAGATACCTCATTAATATTGCAAATGTTAATTTTTTTGCGTAGTGTAATTATGTTTATTACATTCCAGCATCTTAATTGTTAGTGTAGAAAATACAAAAGAATAAACTTTCTTGAAATTTAAAGTAAGTTGATTAATTTTTTATTCTACATATAAAAACAGTAAAATGAAATGTAAATACTGCAATGCATTAGCGATACTATTCTTACGTATATTCTAAATTACTATTGATATAATACATGAATATCTGCATTCAGAATTATACAATGAAAAGTATTTGTGTTAAACACGAAGTTTTTTCTTTATGCTTTTTCATACTGTTACACAAGGTAGTACATATGTTAGGAGTGTTTAAACCTTACCATTATCTACTTAGCTCTTACATTAAACGTTACTTTTTTAATAATTTACAGTAAGCATTTATTACTGAATAATTATAAATAATAAACCGGTGCCAATTAACTGCTTAAAATTGAGCTTGAAGCCTTGTTTGAATACAACAGTTATTTTTGGAGTCCACCCATTTTCTACTTGTCAATGCGAGCGTCATAAAAATAGAAACTTTTTGCGTAATTTAATAATAATGTGCTTATCTAAGGTTAATTAAAATACTACTACTATGGGAGCATTTTATACTTTTGTAGATGCAGCTAATTCCATGCGTGAAATATTTTGCTCTATGCAGAAAGCGGTTTAAATTTCTCAAAAATTTCTGGTTAAAGAGCTGTTCGTGCTAAAGAAGTGCAATCCAGAAATACAGGTAGACAACATTTGGTGTACTTATTAGAGAGTATTTTAGTAATATCAATGGTTAAATATCAAATGTGAATACTAAACACTTACACCATGAGAGAGCCGTAACCTACCTGTATCATTGCATCATTATATAATGACGATATCATTTCGCGATATCTAAGTCATATCCTGACTATTTCATCTGCATGATGCAACAGATAGCGCGATTTAATG